AGATATCTTGTGTGTGTGTGTGTGTGTGTGAGAGAGAGAGAGAGAGAGAGAGAGAGTATTGCCATGTTTGCAAAGGAACTCCTTGCATGCCATGATTTCATTGTAAAGGTTTCATTAACGAGCACATATATTAGTGCCCACAAGAGCAAATTTACCTTTACTCCCTCAGGCAAATGAACCACTTAGGAGGATCTTCTTGCTCTAATTTTGGGAGCCTCTTTGAAATCACCATACGAGTATGTCAAAAATAAAAATATGTTTTTGAGTATATAAATACCTGGATCTGACAGTGAAAAATTTGAACAGTCTGCGTGCAATTCTAGGGCATGATTTTTTCATGCAAACCAAGCGGTTCATAATTTCGGCCGTCTTGTCTAGGATGGTCACTAGGATGAGTAGGTCTCATCCCCAAAATTCGGGGCCCTAAAAGTAGTAGTTAGGGTTTTGCCCAAGAGAGAAAATGCACATTTGCTCCCAAGGGAGCATGTGATTTTTCAGTTCATTAATCACCAATTTGTTCAATATATTTCATGGGTATTCAATAACATAAAAAGAAAATAAATAAATAAAAACATTTCATGCAATACACATAGCAAAAAGGATCCAAATCAAGGTCCAAATTCAAAGGCTAGGTGGCAATGAGTAATATCAGTAACGTCTTTTGCAGGTAGTGAACATCTTCTGCAGCATTATATACATAGAAATAAGAATGAAGATTAAGGTTTGAGTAAGGTATTATTACGGTTTTTTTTTGGGGGTTTGTGTGTGTGTGTGAAGAGAGAACATTTACAGCAGGAATGTACACATAGCAAGAAGGATCAAAATTAAGGTTCAGTTTTTTAATTTTATGTCGAAATATGCACATTACCAATGATACCTTGCCTTGATAGTGACATATATAAGAACTGGGAGGAAGTCATCAGCTCCAGCTGGTCTGCGGTCTGTTGACATTGAAACATTAAGCAGCAGATTATTGATGACTCGGCAACAATTCAAAATGCATAAGAGTTTCTCACGAGGGGCTTTGAAAGCATTTATTTTCTGCAACTCTTTCTCCGCAAGCTGGAAGCAAGAAAGAACATAAGCATAAAAGGACTCTTATTTATTCTCTCTCGACAAATATAAAAGTAATCACAAAATAATATCATAAGATGTATATATGCATGTGTGGTATGTGTGGCTCTATGTATGTTTGTACATAGAGTTGCATTTATGCAGATAAATGCATGTGTGCACATATAAATGTGTATGAGAAGATATAATTTGTGAATATATGCAGAGAGCATAATCATCAATGTGTATGTGTACCAAATAAATATTCATAAATTATTCAAATAAAAACATGTGCACGTTCCACATACTAATATGTATATGTGTGTTCGTGCGTGTGTGTTCCAATTTTGCCTATCCAATTCAAGTTCTTTTTGTTTTGAAATAATATATCGAAATATCAGTTTTGTAAAACCAATATTTTACAGGTCATGAGCATTGTTAGAAAATCCGGGCAATCTAACCACTAACCGCCCGGTGGCCGGTTCTGGTTTTGGGTGGTTTTGGTGATTGACTGGTATTTAAAATAAATAAATAAATAAAATGTATATAAATTCTCAAAAATAAGGAATTTGGTTTGTGATGCATTTTTTAATATTCTTTACATTATAGTAAAGATTAAAAATTGTTTTTGTCATTAATACTCACTTTAATTAAAAAATTGATTCGTTAAAAATCTATTTTTTTCATTAATTTTCAACATTTGAATGTGTTTTGTTTTAATCATTCTTTATATGTTTTTCATATTTTAGTAGTTTTTTTTTTGTTGGTAGCTTTTTTTTTTTTTTAACACTTTTTTGACCGCCTAGGACTTGCCTGGTTAGAACGGTTGAATTGGCTAGTTTACTGGTTAGTCCGGTTAAACCGCTTCCGGGCCCATGTCAGTTAACCATTCCGGTTCGATTTTGCGAACATTGGTCATGACATATTAACGTCACAAACACTGATTTCTCAAGTATTATCATTATTATTATTATTATTATTATTATTATTATTATTATTATTATTATTATTATTATTATTGTAAAAAAAAGTAAAGATATTAGTGTACAAGATATGGTAAAAACACACACATATGCATGTTTTCTGCAGAGAGGCAAAATGAAAAAATCGGCTGAATCAACTTGGACTCGGCCAAGTAACTCAGCCTTGGTACCCTGCTGAGGTGCGTTTTGTACAAATTTGGGCATAAAAAAAAAAACTAAATCACTAATAAATTATGTATAAATATGTTTATATATAATCTTGATATTTTTGACATTGATTTATGAATTTTTTCTTATTATATGCTCTATTTTCCTATTTTTCTTTTTTGTATTTTTTTGAATTGTTTCCAGCTATAAATCAATTTTTTCCATATTATATTTTCAATATACTTTTTTCCAGCACAGATACAATAAATGGTGCACACCTACAAACAATAATTCTTCCTGATTTTGTTTTATTTTTAGCAGTTCTTTTGTACTTTATTTTGCAATTTGAAAGCCATTTTCAGGTTTTTGGGCTGGCACATGACTAAGATGAGTCCACTTGGACTAGGCCAAGTTACTCAGCTTGGACATTGGCCTAGACCCGAGCCTGGACGAGTTTTTGCACACTGATTAATATACATGACTCACAACAGTGAAGTGCTTAGATAAGAAGTTTTTATGGGTTTTTTGTTTGAATGTCCTAAAAATATGCACTCATATATAAATAAATATGCACTCATGTATCAATGAACACATGAATACACATACACCTACATTGACACACATATACGTGTGTACATGTGTGTATGCATGGATGCATGTGGGTATGTGAGTGTGTGTGTGTGTTGAACAAAGCAAACACACACACACATACACACACACACAGGCATCCGCACATTTAAGAACGATGCATGCCTATGTTCTTGACTAACACTAGGTTAATGCTTATGTATTTAATGAACAATGCAGTCCATTATAATTGCATCAAATGTGCTAAACATTGAATACCTGAGCAGACATATGTTTGCATGTATGCACAGACATATTCATATATAGGTAACCTAGAAAGCTATAAGACGCTGATAGCCTTTTATGTGTTACTTACTTACTTGGGTATAAACGCATAGAGTTATAGCATAGACATGAGGGGCACTTTAACAACAAAAGATAAAGTTTTAAGGAATTAATTGAAATATCATGGTTATTTTCTAGCACTTTAAAAAACAAAA